CTGGGTGGGGCGGGAGACGAAGCAGTCGACAGTGTGAGGGCAGGGGCTGCGGCTGCACACATAGGACGGGCTCACCTCGAAGCGGTACAGCATGTACTGCCCAAAGAGGAAGGCCGTCTCCAGCAGCGAGCGGCACAGCAAGTGCAGCACGTAGGCACGCATCAGCCCATCCTGCTTGATGCGGCGCCGGCCGTCGTGCTTTTCCCCACCCTCCGTGCTTTTCTCCTTCTCCACCTCGATCTCCTCAAAGATCATGGGAAAAAACCGGCATGCGTGCTCGCCGGCCTGCCGGAGCCCGGCGCCGCGCGTTCTCTGGCATCCGGGCGATGCGGTGCATGGCAAAGCCCAGGTACAGCACTGATGGCATGGCCACCATGATGATCTGGAAGATCCAGAAGCGGACGTGGGAGAGAGGGGCGAAGGCGTCGTAGCACACGTTCTCGCAGCCGGGCTGCTGCGTGTTGCACACGAACTTGCTCTGCTCGTCGTAGTAGATGGACTCCCCACCAACGGCTGTCAGCACGATCCGGAAGACGATGAGGACAGTGAGCCAGATCTTGCCCACGAAGGTTGAGTGGTTGTTGATCTCCTCCAGGAGCCGCGTCAGGAAACTCCAGCTCATCCTGGCCAAGCAGTCGGCTCAAACCCTGTGGGGAAGGGCAGGCAATAAGCCACAGAGCAAACCCAAATACGCTACGTCTAGCCCCCAAAAGCACCAACCTCCACACCAGACCCGCACCTCCATCTCTCCCTCTCCCAGCACCAGCATCCCTGCCCTTACCTACCAGGCCCACAAACACATCCCCAAGCTGGGATCCCTCTCCCCAAAACCACAGCTTCCACCCAGCAGCTCCAGGGAAGCCAGAGGCGTCTTGGCTCCAGGCAGAAACAAAGGACGGGAGCCCACGCCAGCCCCTCTCCCTGCTCCCCATAAGCCTCCGGCTGGCTGGCTGCCCCATGCCACGCACCTCCTCCACGCGCTTCCCTTTCACACCCTGTTCCAGCCCCGCAGCTGCCACCAGCGAGGTGGGCAGAGGGACCGCGGTGGCGGGGACCGGGCAGTAGGGGAAAGGCTGGGCCGGTTACCTCCCGTCCTGTGTGGGACGGATCTGGGGGAAGAGGCAGCCACAGCCTGGGTAAACAAGGGAGCCCTCCAGCTTCCGGCAGCGCCAGCCAGGGAGGGCGAGGGGACAGCCTCCTCTTCCTCTTCCTCCCCAGCGGAGCCAGGGTGCCGCAGCACCCGTCTGCCACCTGGTCCTGGGCAGGTCCCCAACCAGTGCTGCACTCTGGGCCAGGACCCCCGTCCTGCTACGGGGCATGGTTTCTGCTCCCCTAGGGGAGTGCAGGTCCCTTGAGCCAGGCAACCCCAGGTGGACACGGCCGGCGCCCTGTGGCACGTACCGCCCCTCTCGCCCAGCACAGCACCCAGCCCCTCTGCTCCCCTGAGCCCAGACCCACCAAACCTCTGCTCCCCTGTGCTGTGTCCCCCCCAGCCTCCTGCTGACCCCCATCCCTCAAAATCACTAGGAGCCCTGCCAAGTCTGCTCCTCACATGCCCTGCTGCTACAGCAGGTGCTAGCTGCACCTCCTCCTTGTGTCTCCTGCCTCCAAGCCTCAGCCCGGCTCCAGCCAGGTGGCCTTTTGGGTGGCCAGTCTCAGAGAGGCTCCTGGGCTCAAATCACACCATGACCCTACAGCAAACCCACATTCGGCAGCAGCCAAACTTACAGAGGAAACAGTGTGTGAGGAACAGAGACCGATGGCAAGGGGCAACGCGGGGCAGCCAAGGAATCGCAAAGTACAGGAGAAGCAGCTGACATCAGAGGTCAGGGAGGAAATTAGGAGCAAAGCGCTACAGCTTCTGGCTAAATAGAGGAGAGGACGCAAGAGGAGACACCTCATCGCCACCCCCAGTTTCAGCAGCTTACGTGTGAGCTGATGCAAGGGGAGCAGGTGGCAGGGCTGCCCAGAGGGAACAGGGCAGAGCCGGGCACAGGGAGCGGCAGAGAGGATGTGCCACGCACTGCCACGGAGCCCTGGGCCTCCTCCTGGCCTCACTTGTCCTCGGGCCAGCCCCGTCCCAGCACCTCCAGCCAGGACACGTCTCTGCGGCCAATTTCTCCCACCGCACTTAGGCCGCTATTGTTTTGCTCCAGCTCCTCTGCCGGAGCCTCGCTCCAGAGTAAGAGGATCTTTTTCGCTTAGCTCAATCTGCCTCCCAAGCAAACCTGACCTAAACAGAAAAGCTCCTCCTAGCACCGAGCGACCACATGGGGACCACATGGGACGAGCGACCACACGGGACGCGGCTCCCACTGAGGACCTGGTGCTCAGCTCGGAGCCTCCTGAGCAGCAGGAGGGGGCTGGGGTGGGGGGAAGACGCTGCGCAGGCTGGCCCCAAGGCTCTGCCAGCCCTGAGCACCAGGGCACCAAACCCAGCCCCCAGGGCCACCAGCATCTTTTGTTGTCAAGCTCCTTTTAACACGTGGCTGCCTCAGCCCCGGGGCAGGTTCTGCCCCATCCCTGATGCCAGGCCCTCCCTCCCAGGCCTCCGCTAACACCAGGGTGCTTTGTGTCTACGTTCAGTTCTTGCCTGGCAGCAGCACAACGCCCTGGTCCCAGGGTACAAGGCTGGAGCAGCAGATGAGACCAGGAGGACAAGGGATCGGGGGGCCAGGGCAGAGCTGGCAAGCACACGCAGACAGGCCCTGGTGCATCAGCCAGGGAGGGGTGACACGCTGACCGGCTGCGGGTCAGAGGCACCGCGGTCCACCCTGGCGTGGGCGCAGTCCCCTTTCCCCCCGCCCAGGGCGGTGCCCCCCCCCCCCCGGCCCACGGCCACGGGGGTCCCGGCTCCGGCCGGAGGG